GAAAATTCAAGAGAATAGAATGATGAAAGTAATGATAATTAGTATTTGTAATAAGAATAAGAAGATTAATTAATAAAGAAATAAGAAGATTAATAGAAGTGTTTTGAATCAAAATACCCATATGAAATAATTGAGACGGATATTGTTAACAAAAATATGAAAGAATTAATGAAATAATGTTATAATCATTTTGATGAATATAAGAATCTATATAGAATAGAAGAAATAATCTATTTGATATTAAAATAATAGATGTAATAGCAGTTAAATATCATATAGAAGATGTTTGTTTTGAAACATAATAATTAATATATTTTATTGATAATAAATAAAAGTTTTATTTCATTTTTAATTTTATTATTAATATTTATATAAAACAATTTTAAATTAATAATTAATTCTGATAGATGAATAATAAACTAAATATGTTTAGTATAAACTAATATATGAATCGAATAAAATATTATAAATAATATTAATATTTCTATAGAATAATTGAATAAATAATTTATATGAAAAATAAGAAATAAATAAGAAGAGTTATAAATTAAAATATTTATTTAAAAAATAAACATAGAATTTATTTTATAAAAAGAATTAAATATTAATATTTATTAAAATATTTATTTTATTTGTTAATATAAAATAATGAATGAAAAGAATATTTAAATATATTTTTATTTTATTTGTAAATTGTTACATTATTATATTATTTACATAGATAAAATATTAAATATTATTAATTCATTAAATTATTTATAAAATTATAAAGAATTAATAAAATTATATTTATTTATGATTACTATTATTATTATTATTATTATTTATTGAATAAATTATTTTTGATTTTCTTCTTTTGAAATATATAATTTATTTTATTTATTCAATTTATTTAATATTATGAAATTTATTCTATTTGTTTATTTATTTACTTCTTTATAATATCTATTTATTTGATTAAATTTATCATGTTTCTTTTTGCTTTTTTAATATATTTTAATTTATGAAATATTTATTTTCTTATTTTTATTTATTTCTTTTTTATAATTATTTTGTATGGTACAATTTATTATTAGTGTGTTAATTTGTATATTGTATATTATTATTTCTTCATTCATTTGGTTATTTATCATTTATTTATATTTTGTTTTATACCATATTCTGTTTGTAGAAAATATAATTCTTTAATTCTTTGACTATTTCATATCTAATCATTTATTCACGTTTCTCGTGTTTATAACTTATTATTCTCTCTAATATTTAAAATCACATTATTTTTATTATAATTTATTATAATTATTTATTTTTAATCAATCTAAAAGAATGAAATTAGTATATACTAATTCATTTGTGTAAATATTAGAATGGAGATTATATTTTGATTCATAACAACATAAGAATGTATAGATTTTTCATTTGAAATAAAGATAATAAATGAAAAGAAATAGAAAATGGAAATAAAAATAAAAAGAATGAATAATAAATAAAAAAGAAGAAATAGAATATGATTAAAAGAATAATAGAAGAATAATATAAATAATAAGAAAATAGAAGAAAATAAGACATAATGATAATAAACAAGAATTAGATATAATAAAAGAAATTAAACGATATAAAGAAGAATATAAATAACAGAAATATGTCAGAAGAAGAAAAAATATTAATAATTTGTGATTTTCTCCGGAGAAAATCACAAATTATTAATATTTCAAAATGAAATGATTATGAATGTTCTAAAAATAGAATGATGACGTGTAAATACGTAATAATTATTTATAGAAATAGATTTGACGTGGTAACAACTCAAATGTATTTATAGAAATAGAATGATGACGTATTGAAACGTAATCAAATATAAATAGAATTATGGAATAGATAACACAAAAATCTAAAAAATTAAAGATAGAAATGTCAGCTGACTCGCTGACCAAATTTATAGTAAAATTATAATAAAAATATTATAAAATATAATAAAAATATATAGTCAGTATAAATATATATATATATATTTTGAACCTCAAAAGTCAGAAGGGGAATAATATTGAGACACTTACTGACCATATTGGGATTAATAACACAATTTATGGAATCAAAATAAATATTATACCTCAATTTCAACTCAATTCAAAACTCAATTATTATTTACTCAGCTATTTTTATAAAAGGGGAAAGATATTTATAACAAAATAGTCAGTGCAAGAACCGACTGAAATTATCAGTTCGCTGACCCCGGTATATATAGTAATGTATACATGGCAGGGTTGAATTTAACGTTCAAAATTTCACATGGTGATGAATTAGGGTGAAAGAAAGGTGCAGAAATGAGAAGAAAACGCGTCATAGAAACATAAAGAAGCGGAGAAACGTAAAAAACGATTAAAACAACAAGAGAAGGTGAAGTATTACAAGAGCATCGAGAAATTAAATGGCAAATAAAAATATTAAATAATAAAAATATTAAAACAGAGAACGATATAATAACGTAATATATACGTGTAACAACCTGTCAAACAAATAAAAACAACAAAGTCGAGATACTAAAAACTTTAATCAATTGGCTGCTAACATGACCAGTAACTCCCCTCAACTTAATAAAGTGCCCACTCAACAACCTTATCCTTATCCATTCAGAAAACAACACATCTTTCTCGGAGGAAGTATTGCTACCGGAAAGTCGACACTGGGAAGTGCAATCTACAACTACGTTAGTAATTATACGGAGGCCGTGTTCATCAGGGAATATATAGATTATAATCATTCAGGTGAAGAAATGCTCAAGAAATTATTTAATAATATCATTACAAATTTTGAATTCCAGAAGTATATTTTACAGTGTTATGAAGACCAATTGAATTCTTTAGATTATGAGGAAGCCGATTTCGTTATTTGGGATAGGCACCCCATAGAATCGTTAGAAATATTTTGTCATAACGAAAAACGTTAACAAATGCACAAAGAGAAAGTCTGAAATTACAAACAGAATATTTATGTAAAAGATATCAAATTCCAAATGTCTCAGAGAGCGCCGTTACGCTGGTAAAATTAGATACTTCATATTTGGATATTATCGAAGTCGAACAATTGGTGTTGGGTGATTATATATGTTCTCTTTTATTGGGTGAATTTGACACAGACTATTATTTTCTACTTTATTGTAGTAATATTGATATACAATTTAAAAGACTTCTCAAAAGAAACAGACTATCAGAAACCGCCAGATATAAATTCAAGGAACAGTTGATACCACTCAATACTACGTATACGGATTTCTTTATCAAGCACCAAACAAGCAAGTCAACTTCTAATTGAATATCTAATTATTCTCATTCTTTGTTTATATCATGGAAGAAACAGGAAATTCGTTTATTAATAAATTAGAGAACAAAAGACCAAATCTACTATTAAGAGTATGTTACTCCGTTGCGGCTTCAATTATATTACTCGTACTAATTATGTGCATAATAATAGCTGAATTATTTTTAAAATTCCTGGATTAAACGAAAATAAGCCAAAATAAAATTTAATTATTCTTCTTCGGCTTACACTGTTCATGTTTTCTGTTTTCTCTTTTTTCCCTACATCGTCTAAAAGCCCCAATAACAGAACCATGTTGCTCCAAGAATTTACAAGCTAAAGAAGCGATATCCTCTATCAAAAAGATTTCATCTTCAATGAGAACAGAATATCTTTCACTTCCTAAAGTACAGCACTCCTCCCTTTTATACAAATTAACCATATCATCACACAGATCATGTAAGTCATTCATATCATTATAAAAATCAAGCAACAATTCAACTTTTAAGTCGTCAAACGGATAGTAGTCAATCTTGTCTTCAGGATTATTACTCATTGAATAAATTACAAGATAAACTTCAATTAAATTTATCATAAACAGACATAACTCACCGTGAACAGGCAGTACACGTCATCAAACAGACAATAAATATTACTAATCAATACGTAATCAAACGTTTTTAAAGAACTGAAAATTAAACATTAACATCGTCGCCATGAACTCCTCCGCTTACATTAAAAATGCTTTGAATGATTTGACAAAGGAATTATCCATCATTATTAAACATTTATCAACAACCAATTTATCTCCCGAAGGAGATAGCCTCATTCATGCAATCGCTTTATGGACAAGACAAGTTTCGTTTATTAAAGAATTTAACTATGATGATACGTTATTTGGCTATTTAGATTATTTAATAGCAGACGCCCAAGTGTTAATAATAGAAAATGAAAAATTGATAGAAATTTTAAGTCAATTTAGATTTCTTTATAACAGAGATTATGCAATACACTTTAAGTGATTAATTTTTATTAATTATTTTATTTTCTATTTGTCAATTAAACGAGTATTTGTTGTCCACAACCTTTTTATTAACTTATGTAAACTCCCTCGCCGGGCACATCAAATTTAGTCTAAACAACTAAACACCACGTTTCGTCTAATTCCACATTATCTAATAATATTAAGAAAATAAAAGAGTAAAAAGTCTTTAATTATCTTTAGTCTCAACCTTCTTAGGCTTCTTTTCCTCATCTTTAGATTTTAACGGTCTAAGTAAAGCGCGTTTAGATTCGTTTTCATTTTCTTCAACGCGAATAACATCAACATCAACTTCTTCGGCCTGTTTTCGAGACGACTTTCGAACCCAGTCTGGAATAGTACTCTGGTCAACGGTCTTTTTATTACACTTCTTTGCAAACTTTTTATTCCATGCATTAAATGAATTAAGTCCTATATTATTTTCATCCAAATATCTAGATATTCTTTCACATCTTCTAATACTTTCAAGTTTTTGTCTTATTAAATCTCGCCTGTCTTCATCACTTTTAACTTTATCGGAGTTATTAATCTTCCAGTCAATATATGACGGCTCTTTCATGGTGTAATAGAACTTCTTGAGGAAAGCGTTAACGTTCGGCTCAGACTGCGCCTCAGTGTAAACATCTAATATATCCATAGCGGCGACGTCCATGTAAATATCATCTCTTGGCCTGTTCATGTTTGTCATTGAATTCGATATATATTTTAAAGTTTTCTTTCGTTAAATAGTTCAGCCACCTTCAACGATGTCATCGCCACGTAAGAAAAAAAAACCTCACCAATCCGTAAAAATAGATCAAATCGAACTAACAAAAATACATTAATGTCTAAAGAAGAATTCCACTCTGAACCCAATAAAATGGACATGATTCACTTAAAAGATGCTCTAGCAAACAACAAGGCTCTCCATTTCACGTCCAGATTCATGTATTTAACGCTCTGGGGCGATGAAATTTCCAATCAAATACAGTTCAAAGAAGTGGTGGATCGTCTAGCCGGTGCAACAAATAACGTTCAGTATGCTCATATTTCACCCACTGAAATAGACGAAGTAAATCCCAAACCACACCAGCACCTGCTAATAGTCACCAAGAGACCGCGCTCATTTAAAGCGAGACCGTTAATTAATCACTCGGACGGAACGAAGCAGACTTTTTGGTACTCACGGGTAAATTCTTACACCTCACGCACTGGTGATATCTCGGCGATTATACGTTATATTACGAAGAAAGGTGCTGGGATGTGTAAGGGGGATCCATCCACAAAGGAGGACTTGAAACAGACGTGGATCAACGCTTTATCAGAACTCGATTCTTACCAGGATTACAGTGAATTGGAAAAAACCCTTCTAGATATTAACGCTGAAAAGTATATTCAGCAGGAAGGTAAAATAAAGGCGAGGTGGTTGCGTAAGAACGCGAGACGTCTAGATATCGAACATTACACGAGAACCGATTTATTCCCCTGGAGAGAAGAAATGCCGGAAGTACAAACAATCCGCAAATGGTTGAAATGTGCCGCGGGGAATAAATATCGGATGGGAAATTTATTTATTGTAGGACCTACCAAAACAGGCAAAACAGAATTTGCCATACAAGAAATCTTCTTAAAATATAATACCTTCATGTTAAGAGGAGATTCTCTGTTCGACGCGTACGACGACGAACAAAATTATAAATTCATTCTCTTTGACGATATAAATTACGATAAAAATTTAATAAGATTAATAAAGGCGGTTACTTCTACTATAGATAAAAAAACAATGGTCAATATTAAATACTCAAAAGCAATTGTTACCGCCAGACCTTGTATCCACCTATTAAATCAGAGGGAGTATGAAGGAGTAGTAGAATTGATGAAATACAACGGAGGCTATAACTGGTGGAAAAGAAATTCACTGACAGTGTTCATAGATAAAAAGCTTTATAAAGATCCCGAAGAATCTGAAAAAGATTCAGAAGATATGGAAAAGCGGGAAGAAAACTACGATGCAATGGAAGATTTACAAGAAAAATATGAGACCATCAAAGATATGCCAGAAGAACAAGATTTAATTGATAATAAATCGGCGGAGCACCTCTCTTTCTACAAAAGAGTGACTAATTTAATGGAGTCACTCGGTTACGATGAAGAATTCCTAGAAGGCCTGACGGAAAAAATAAAAGAAGCAAAGAAAGATAAGAAGATGAAAAAAATTCTAAATGAATCCCAAGAAGACAACACGAGTATGTTAGAAGAGTGGAACAAAGACCTAGAAGAATACCAAACAGATAATCCACTCGGCTTGTCAAGGGAAGATTTTGGCGACTTCGAAAGAGAAACCATGTCCTCCTATGAAAAGCAGAGAAATAGTTATTTCGCGAGATACATGGACTCTTCAGCTGATGATTACAACGAAGAAATGGAAGAAGATTATACAGACGAAGAATACAAAGAAGAAAACTTTCCCAGGGAACAGCCACCTTTCTGAAGAGATGGAAATGATCCAGACATCATTTATGACTAAAAAGAATTAAATTAATTTACTTCTTTTTATCTTTTACCATTGAAATTTTTGTTATTTTTCTCGGTTTCACCGTTTTATCCTTCTTCGCCGCTTCTTCCCATGCATGTTTATTAATGCGTTCCATGGTACGTTTCAATATTAAATTGTTTCTTTTCGAAGCACTCACGCGCTTTTCATATCGTCCAATTTCATCCGCCTCAATCATGTCATACACGCCCCTTGGAATAGATTCAGTAATATGTCCATTAATATCGACAACTTCTCTTTCATTTTCTGGATTATCATAATATTTCTTTACTCGTTCCTTTATTCTTCCTCTAGCTTCTTTGTACCACTTCTCGTAATCATATTCATTATAAGATGAACGCATCAAATCATTTGTCTTCTGTCTATAATCCGAAGCAATGGGAATAGCATCATATTTAGGTTCAATTTTATGTCTACCCATTATTTCATATCCACGATTTCCTTCTCTCAGTGTAACTGTTTCATCTCCGCGTTTGTCAAATCCAGAATTTGAATCAGAAGAAATATCATCTCTTATCATTCTTTTTCTAGGCTGTATTACACTCTCAGAAACATAAGAATCTGCACCACCACGTACAGCAAAACTCTGAGCATATTCAACAAAATCATTAATATTTATACCATTTCGTTCAGCTAACTTATTTGCAATAATCTTAGCACCCGCATTTCTATTATCATTCCAAGAACCTCGTAATTTATCAAAATCATGAGAAGCAACATCCAATTTATAACGAATTTCATCAACATTAGACTTATCATCCATAATACCACTCAAAACCATCATCATACTTTCATGAAAATTTTGCATATCATTAACAGGAACAACATATTCAGCATTAAAAGACTGAGCAATATTTTCAAATTGTTTCATAATTGCATTAACATTACTTATTACATCATTATATTGTGCACCCCGAACCTCATCATCTTTTATATACTTATTAACATCTTTAAAACGAGAAATTAATAATTGGCGTGTATTTTCAAATGCCTTTTTACTCTGTCTCATATCCGGATCATCACTATAAAATTGTTCTTCTCCTGCATTTATTATTTGTCCCTTCTTTTTATATGAATTCATATCATTTTGTATACTATTCACCAAACTTATTACACGAGTAATTTCTTCTGTTTTACCACTACCAATTTTATGTATTGATGAATTAAGAGCTTTCACTTCACTCTCAAGTATTCTCATTCTTCTAGTGAAATTAGCGGGTTCTCTTTCTTCCAATAAATCTTTAAGTAAATCATTTAATGGTATTTTCATATGTTCAGGTAATCTATTAACAACATCAAAAACATTTTTCCATTCTTCTGATTTCTTTTCTAATTTATCAAGACGTTCTGTATATAAATTGACCTTATCTGTAACAGCATCGAGTTGTTTCAATGAAAATCGGTTCTGTTCAGCAAGTCTTGAATCAATATCCTTAATAATTCCTTCTTGTTTCTTTACATAATCATTAATTTGTCCTAATAAAGCATTTACATCATTTCGATTATATGTATTAGGTAATGTCTGATCAAACCACTTAGCAGCATCATTAACATCCAATTTAGTCTTATAAAGTAATTGTATTTCTTTTTGAAGGTGGTTTTTATATAATTCCAAATCTGCTCTAACAGCATTTAAATTTTCTGGACTTATTGTATTCAAATGTCTAAATTGAGAATTTAAATCATCATATTGTTTAGAAAATACCATTCCCATATTCCGATAAGCATTAGATAGATTCTGTAATTCATTCTCAAAGGCAGGATATTTATCAATTAATCCTCTCATGACATTAACTCGTTCTTCGATATTTTGTAATCTAGAACCCTGTTTTTCAATTAGAGGTTCATAGAAATCTCTGAAAGCATTTAACTCTGCACGAGTAACAAATATCCCATTATTCCTTTCAATTTGAGATACACGACGTTTCAATACTGAATTTTGTTCTGTAAGATCCTTTATTTGAGTACGAACATTACGAGGAATAAAATCACCAAATTGTATTTTTAATTCATTAATCTTATTCACATTTTCATTTATCATTTCTCTATTTTCACGAACTAAATCTTCAACTGTAACAAATCGTTCAGCATTTTGTTTATATTTTTTAATTGCAGACTCTAAACGTTCAATATGATGAACATTTTTAAGATTATCCTGTTGAGCACGTAGAATAGCTCTATACAGACTTTTATTATCATCATCAATCTTTTTCTGTCGTTTATTGTTTTCTTTATAAAAACTACCTTCTTCACCTAATCGTTTATCCAATTCCCTACTAACTATATTTTGAAGAGATTCATCTGGAAGTGGTGGATTATAAGGTCTTCCACCAAATTGATAAAACTGTTGTTCATTATCAATGGGTTGTTTATCATATTGTCTGGAAACATACTTTCCAGCACTATTATAATAACGGTTATTTCGTTTGTTATAACTATATTGTCTTCTCCTTCGTCTCCACATCAAATAACCAAATAAAGTTCAATAATCAATTAGAGATTAACATTATGTTCTGGCAATCCATCATTTGGTATTACCAACCCACCGTTAGAATATGCATCATTGGCATTATCATAAACAGTCTCAGGATTAATTGATGGAGCAAATCCATTAGCAATAGCTCCAACTAAAATATACGGAGGTTGAGCATTAGGAATATTACTAGGTACAACAAGTCCATTATTATTGCGAGCATAACCAATAAACCCAGCATAAGGTTTAAATGAATTTTCATCAGTAACGAGTACTTTTCTCAAACCTCTCAATGTAACATCAAATTGCCAATGAATAGTAAGAGTACAAGCATTGGCAACATTAACAGCTTGAGGAGTTTTTATAGCGATAAGTAATTGAGGATTCCATGCACTATACATGTTATCCATACTAAGTACATCTCTAGTATTAGTTGTTGGTAAATACATAGACTTTTCCATCATAGATGCTGCATCTAATTGTCTCACTACTCCCCATCTACTACCATAATACAATGTCTTTTCATTTGCACTAGAATAAGAAGAAACAGAAGAATAAGCAGGTAATTGGAAATATCTCGTATTATTAATAACAGCAGTATTAATTCTAACACCATTACGATCCCATGCTGTACATATAGAAGGGAATGTTGCACTATTTAACAACTGATTTCCAATGAATGTCATTTCCATGGATGCTCTGACAGCATTTAACTTGAATTGATCATACATTCCCATATAATTATGAAAATATTGTGTAGAAGTCATCAAAGCAGTGACATTCCTCAACATTGTACCTTCATTTGCACCAACTGGAACATTAATAGAAACATCCTCTTGCATACTAATAACTACATTAGTACTATCTCGTTGCTGCATAGCACTTGCAAAATTACCAAATGCTTGTCGTTTCAAAGTTGTACGTTTTTTATAACCTCTTCTTGGATAATTACGTCTACTAACACGTCGTTGCATCAAATGATTGAAAACAAGATTCAATTAAAAGTTCTAATTAAAGAGTGATATAGTCTTTGATAGTAATGAAGTAACATTACCACAAAAATCAACAACTTTATCACCTGCAACTTTCCTCAACCCACCAATTAAGACAGATTCCAAAGCATCTCGACCAGCACTCAAATACGTATTATTATCAATAAACTCCATACCTTCAGAAATACCAGTATAAGCGTATCCTACCAACACCTTAGCAGTATTATAACCAGGTACAGCATCAGAAATGGCACTTTCAACTAATGGACCAATTCATTCTTAACTCCCTTTTTAACCATATTACATGCATAAGAAGTAATACCCGTTCCTTCAGCAAGAGAACCAAGAGTCAAGAAAGTATCAACTGGAATGTTTTCAAAGCCATATCGTTTCAATGCATCCGTCCATGACTCTCCATCACCACGTTCAATAACAAACCCGCTAACACCATCTTGAACAAATTGTCCTAAACCATTTAACGAAATTACACTGTCATGAGATGCAACCTCGCCAGTCGTTGGATTTCTCCAAGATGACTGACAACGAACAAAATTATATGCTTCGACAATCTCAAGAGGAGATGAACGCAATTGCTTAAATCTCACTGTAATATACCCCATAATTTTCATAATATACGAACCATCAGTCTCAACGGTGGTATGATTAGCAAGTTCTTGTTTATATGCAGCTTCAACATCCGCGGCATCCGATCCCTGAAATCCTCCAACTACAATACCACGACCAACACGAACTTTTATTTTCACATTATCACGAATAACATCCTGTAAATCAACATTGGCATTATCCAAAATAATTTCCTCTTCTTCTTGAGGTATTCCCACATTACCAGTCCAAGAAATACCACCATCATCAATAAAAGAAAGAGCATCAGTAATATCACCAGCACCAGTGGGAAGAGTGGCTTTGGCACCATACATAATAAAAGGATAAAAACGTCCATTTTGATTCTCTGGAATAAATTTATATAACTTTCCCGCCATCATAGTGGGGGTTGTCATCATTTTTTCACTCGAAGATACTCCAGCAACATCAAGTGATAGATGTAAACTGGCACCAGGTAATTTACTTTGATATATAAAAGAAGAATAAGAAGAAAGAACATCAAAACTAGGCTCAACATATGAAACTCCTGTAGGACTTGGAGTAAAAAATCCGGGAGGAACAGTACGACGACTAGCTAAACCATAAACAGTTGGAAAACTGAGAACTTGCGTGGCAATTATCGGATAACCAGCACCATGTTCCGGTTTTCCGATATAAAAATTCCCATTATAATATTCAATAAATTCGCCAGCCTGACCTTCTTCAAAATACACATGATTCGCATCAACTAATAATTCAGCAGCATCGATATCTGTCCAATTTGAACCATTATCAATACTCACCTGAAGTGAAATACTCTTTATAAAACACACTCTAAAATTCATTAATGTGGATACTCCTTTACTAACATCGCCACAAATATGAACATCCATAATTTTAAATTGATCAAAACAATCACACATTTCTATAAATTGCCTGGAACCAGCAAGCATGGATAAACTCGAAATGGTGTGGACATCACTGTAATCTCTTCCCCCGATATGTCTCATTGCACCTCTCCATTCAGTTGACACCGGAATAGTAACAGTAAGCTCTTGTCTCTGATTACGTTTTGCAATATCGACATTAACTTTAGCTGGTCCATATTTCTTATGTTTAAATGTTGAATTAGATGAAAAAGACATAAACTGATATTACAAGATCCCAGAGAAACTGAGAATATCAATGAACACAGAAGTGAGTATAAAAGACCTAATAAACACCTGTAATATCCTCCAAATGAATCAATACGACATTGTATTGGAAAAAGAAACAATAACTCTAAAAGATATACCAAGCTTACTTGTAATAAACAGAATAAAACTGACAGGAATTAATCCAGACAATGACGAAAAACAAATACAAATAAATGAACAACCAACTAATCATATAATCATAACATCTGAAAAGGGTAACACTCAAACATGGCAATCTCTAAACATTCCAACTTCAACTGTGACATTTCTAACAATGGAAGATGACGATGAACATGAAATAATGATTACAGAAGGAAGTGGAATACTCTATGTAGTAATGAGCTTCGACTTGAAAACACACACAATCCATTTCGGTGCATACGAAAATCAATGGTTCAATATCACACCTCAAAAAAACATAATAATATTTCCTTATAGATTAAATTATAATGATTCAACTAAACGTCTAACATTAACATTAGAAAGTGGGGGAAGAGAACAAAACTCAAACCAACAATTCATTGAAATAGACTTGGAAATTAATGGAGGAATATCAGCAGTTTCTCCCGGTCTTTTTGATGAGATTTGGAATAAATACTTCAACAAGGAAGTTTAAACTTTTAATTGACTAGTTATTCAATTCATCTCAATAAACATTATAACCAATGGAAACAGAGATAAACCTAACAAACCTCATAAAAACATGCAATAAATCGAACCAGGATTCACTTGAAATAATTTCCGAAAAAGAAAAAATTATTCTAACAAATATACCAGATTTGGAAACAAAACAACCAATAAATACTATAACTCTATCTTCTTACATAACACAGAATGGAAATTATACAATTCAAACACCAACTGATTACGACGGAATAAAAGAAGTAAACCTCAAAGTCGATGTACCTCCTAAAACAGAAGATATGTTAGTAAAATTGATAAACCAGAACGGCCAACAAACCTTCTTACCAGAACCGAATCATACCTTCGGTCAAGTTTCGATAACAACGGATGTCAACCCTCCTCTTCAAACACTAGCACACACATTTACGAATAACGGAAATTACCTTCTTAAACCAGACGAAAATCATTACGGTTTAAATGCCGTCAATGCATCAATAAACGTACAACCTGCTCTACAAGCAAAAGACATAACAATACAGGAAAACGCAACAGCAACTTACACTCCGGATTCAAACTACTATGGTTTTTCAAAAATTACCATAACCACGAACATCCCAGAAGAAAAACATACATTCAATAAGCTATATTATTCGAGTGGAACCGAAGCCTTTCCAATTAACTATCCTACCAACATAATAAACCTTCCTACAAACACAGAACAGGTTACATGGTCGGAACTCAACATTCCTTACTCCGAAGAAACGACACTCGTAAAATCTAGTCACGCGCTTAGACCGTTTTATATAACTCTACTAAGTTCTAAAAGCTGCCTTTCGTTAAAATTCGCAAATAATGGGAAATTAGAACCCCGATTCATATATGAAGGAGAAATCTTCTTAGCTGCGGGGGAAAAGGCATTACTCGTTCCAATACTCTTCGCCAATGCAATAAATTGGGGCAGTATATTCTTTATAGCATCGAACTCTGATGATGAAATGGCACAACAAGAAGATTCAATGAAAATAGCATTCAGAAAAGATACACCATCATATTCATATTTGCCAACTTCACTTTTCTCGAACCGCTGGAAAGCACTAGGTAATTAAATTCTTTTGTGAATAATTTAATGTTGTCAGTTGTACAGGAAAATAAGAGTGAAATAACAACCAAAGGGAAGTGCATGTAACGATTTCCTGATAACTGATAACATTAAATCGAGCAAAAGAAATCAATAAATTGTGTTATTCAACACACTTTAGTCAGAGAGTGTTTCATAAATAATTCAACACTGACTTTTGAGGTTCAAAATATATATATATATATTTATACTGACTATATATTTTTATTATATTTTATAATATTTTTATTATAATTTTACTATAAATTTGGTCAGCGTTGTCAGCTGACATTTCTATCTTTAATTTTTTAGATTTTTGTGTTATCTATTCCATAATTCTATTTATATTTGATTACGTGTTGATGAGTAAATTCTATTTCTATAAATACATTTGAGTTGTTACCACGTCAAATCTATTTCTATAAATAATTATTACGTATTTACACGTCATCATTCTATTTTTAGAACATTCATAATCATTTCATTTTGAAATATTAATAATTTGTGATTTTCTCCGGAGAAAATCACAAATTATTAATATTTTTTCTTCTTCTGACATATTTCTGTTATTTATATTCTTCTTTATATCGTTTAATTTCTTTTATTATATCTAATTCTTGTTTATTATCATTATGTCTTATTTTCTTCTATTTTCTTATTATTTATATTATTCTTCTATTATTCTTTTAATCATATTCTATTTCTTCTTTTTTATTTATTATTCATTCTTTTTATTTTTATTTCCATTTTCTATTTCTTTTCATTTATTATCTTTATTTCAAATGAAAAATCTATACATTCTTATGTTGTTATGAATCAAAATATAATCTCCATTCTAATATTTACACAAATGAATTAGTATATACTAATTTCATTCTTTTAGATTGATTAAAAATAAATAATTATAATAAATTATAATAAAAATAATGTGATTTTAAATATTAGAGAGAATAATAAGTTATAAACACGAGAAACGTGAATAAATGATTAGATATGAAATAGTCAAAGAATTAAAGAATTATATTTTCTACAAACAGAATATGGTATAAAACAAAATATAAATAAATGATAAATAACCAAATGAATGAAGAAATAATAATATACAATATACAAATTAACACACTAATAATAAATTGTACCATACAAAATAATTATAAAAAAGAAATAAATAAAAATAAGAAAATAAATATTTCATAAATTAAAATATATTAAAAAAGCAAAAAGAAACATGATAAATTTAATCAAATAAATAGATATTATAAAGAAGTAAATAAATAAACAAATAGAATAAATTTCATAATATTAAATAAATTGAATAAATAAAATAAATTATATATTTCAAAAGAAGAAAATCAAAAATAATTTATTCAATAAATAATAATAATAATAATAATAGTAATCATAAATAAATATAATTTTATTAATTCTTTATAATTTTATAAATAATTTAATGAATTAATAATATTTAATATTTTATCTATGTAAATAATATAATAATGTAACAATTTACAAATAAAATAAAAATATATTTAAATATTCTTTTCATTCATTATTTTATATTAACAAATAAAATAAATATTTTAATAAATATTAATATTTAATTCTTTTTATAAAATAAATTCTATGTTTATTTTTTAAATAAATATTTTAATTTATAACTCTTCTTATTTATTTCTTATTTTTCATATAAATTATTTATTCAATTATTCTATAGAAATATTAATATTATTTATAATATTTTATTCGATTCATATATTAGTTTATACTAAACATATTTAGTTTATTATTCATCTATCAGAATTAATTATTAATTTAAAATTGTTTTATATAAATATTAATAATAAAATTAAAAATGAAATAAAACTTTTATTTATTATCAATAAAATATATTAATTATTATGTTTCAAAACAAACATCTTCTATATGATATTTAACTGCTATTACATCTATTATTTTAATATCAAATAGATTATTTCTTCTATTCTATATAGATTCTTATATTCATCAAAATGATTATAACATTATTTCATTAATTCTTTCATATTTTTGTTAACAATATCCGTCTCAATTATTTCATATGGTATTTTGATTCAAAACACTTCTATTAATCTTCTTATTTCTTTATTAATTAATCTTCTTATTCTTATTACAAATACTAATTATCATTACTTTCATCATTCTATTCTCTTGAATTTTCATAATTTATATCTTACATGTTCATTTTATTCATAAATATTATATTTATATTGCAATTTCT